AATGAATCATTTATGAACTTTCTCTTTTTCAATAAGCATGCATCTTTATTGTAAGGATCATATCGTATCCCATTTTTGAAAGAGACCTTTCTTTGATTTCCAAGCATAGTATTCAAGTTCTCTTTTCCTTTGGTTAACTTTGCTAAGATGTCATTTTGATCATCAATGGCTTCATTTGAAGAATTATATTCGAAAGCACAATCAATTAATGGTGACTCTTTAGATAGTACATTATCATTTTCCTTTTTCAAAGACTCATTTTCAATTTGAATCTTTTCTAATTCTTGCTTAAGATAATGATTTTTCATTTCTAAAGAATTATTTTCACCTTTGAACTTTTTCATGTCTTTGAGAGAGATCATGGTTTTCCTTTTTAAGAGATTCACATTTTATAAACATTTTTTCTAATACACCATGCAACTCTTTAAACGCATCATGTAACTCATTATGCTCATCAACTAACTCATTATAGGAAGCATTTAAATCAAAAGAATCATGGTTCGAGTTTACCTCATCTTTGTCGGCCATGAGACAAAGAGCAATATCTTTATGATGATCAACCATATCTTTGATGTCATTTTCTTCTTTGCTAGAAGCTTGGAGAATTTCACTCTTCCTTTGAATTGCTTCATTTTCTTCACCATAAGAAGATGAGTAAATTCTAATAAGATCATTCACATGATTAGTAATGTTAGTAGAACTAAAATTCATCTCATTATTTAAACCATTGTCATTCATGCTTCAAGATTCATTTTCATTGATAAGCATACATAAATTTGATTCCTCAACATTACAAGTACTACCATGGAATATCTCAAGTGAGTCCCAAATTTTTTTTGCCGTTTTACAATTTGCAATTCTATTGAACTCATTTTTATTTAATGCACAATAAAGATTATTTATGGCTTTAGCATTCCATTAAATTAATCTATGGTCATTTGTATCCCATTTTTTCTCTTCTTTAGGAACCATTGTCTTTTTTACTTCTTTCACGAGAATGAATGGTCCATTAACTATGGCAAGCCAAATTCTATAGTCTATGGATTGAAGAAAGTCTATCATTATACTTTTCCAATAGTTATAGTTGGTTCCATAAAAAATTGGAGGTCTATCAATACATTGTCCTTCTAGGTGTGTGAATATGCCATTGTTGGTCATGATCATACTCTAAGACGGTTAAGTCTTTTTTATTAGAGTTAGACTCTGATACCAATTATTGCCCAAGTATAGACTCTAGAGGAGGGTGAATAGAGTCTTTGGCAAATAATGACCAATTTTTAGTTTTGCAAATTCTACTAAACCCTTCTAACATTTATGTAATAATCAAGATATAAACATAAACAATTAATAGAATAAATGTAAAGGACATAAGGGAAGAGAGATTGCAAACATTCACACGGCGATTTTAGCGAGATTCGGAAACTCCTACTCCTCGACTCAAGACTCCTCTTGAGACTTCCCAATCCACTAGTGCACCTCTTTACGGGTGGAGAGCAACCATTTACATGAAGCAACTCCTTGCTTCACTTTGCTAAGAAACAATCTCTCTTAGTCTTCCTTTAGGTTACACCAACGCTTCTAAATTGAAACTAGTTTGTTTCTTCTTCCTTGGGCCAAACCAGCCCTTACAAATGAAGATCAGATTTGTTGTAGACAAATATATCTCTTAAAGATTGATATGCAAATATTAGCTCACAACTAGAGTATAGATGCATAGATTGAAGCTCAATCCTCTATGAATGATATGGGATGAGAGAGTATGATCTGAATGAAGAATAAAATCTCTTATGATGCTAGAAGATGTCTCTCAAGTATAGCAACATTAAATCCCGAAGTCCCCTTACTCTATTTATAGAGTGACTGCAGCAAATTCAAAAATAGAGCTATTGTGTACGCGGTTCAAGGCAAAATAGCCGTTCAGATCTGAATCTGTGCAGGTTCGGTCAACCGATATGAAACATCATTTTGTTTTGGTCGTCCGAAATGACTTGAGGCTACCTTTCACCTTTTTATTTCGGTAGGCCGAAATGGGTTATTCATTTGTTTCGATCGATCAAAATAGCTTGAGTCCTTGTTGCATAGCCACTGTCAAGACCGGTTGTCCGATTCAATTTGCCTATGCATTTCGGTTTGCCAAAATGAAACTGCAGCTCCAGGAATTTTTTTCTAAGTTAACAAATGAAACAGTTTTTTTTACAGGCCATCTGCACATACCTTTAAGTAAGTGTCTTTACAGTATTTATATGTCTATTTACCTTAAGTTTACAATCTAAATAAAGAAGTACCCCCCATTTGGATTCAATAAAAAATACTAGAAAATTGAAATCCAACTAAATCAAAATGTAGAAATTCAGTTTTAGTACAAATTTAGATTTTCGACAGTTTTGGTAAAAATGAATCTTTATGTAGACAAATGTAGACTTGGTCAAAAATTCTGATAAAATCAGTTTAAGCTAGTTGAAGTATAAAGAGTTATTACCGGAAAAAATTATTTTGAAATAATCATTATTTCAAAATTTCATTTTTCACACTTAGCCAAAAATACAGTTTTTCATGACGCGCATTCTGGGGTCCTAATGTCCGTTACCAACTCATGGTAATGAAGGCTTCTCATGCCTTAATTGTTGATCAATATGAATTATATGATTGATGTGTTTGGTATTAGCATTTCTAGTACAAGTGATGAGTTCTTTCAAAACTTATGCAAGCTTGAACTAACTCACTCTTTAGCAATGATTTCATGTGCAATTATATATGAATGGAGTGCATAGTCTATTGCTCATATACATAGGAACATATGAATGATGATATGATATGCATGGTCCTATAGAGATGAGCTTCAAATTGATTCATAAATACTTTGACATTGAATCCTAAACACTCACCATCCTATCTATCACTTTCTTCACGCTTTGTCCTTGATCATGTAGGCTTTTAGGTAGACTTACTTTTTTCCTTTCTTTGAGTTACTTTCTTACTCGTTTTAGTCCAAGCTATCTTTAGATGGACTTTGCATTTACTTCTTTGCAACTTCATGTCTTCTTTGTATCCATTATTTTTTAATGTGATCTTGAATAATGAAATACTTGGAATGTTCTTTCATGTTTAATTGAGGTCATCCTTTAAATGTGAATAATATATAACACTCAATGTAAAAATTAGTTCTTAAACATCATTAATGGTTTGTTATCATCAAAACCTCTAAATTGTCCTTGGATGAAATCCTTAAGGTCAACATCTACCCCAAATTACCTTTTATTATGAGTTTTTTAATAAAATAAAATCTAATTAGACAAGGATATTTATATTTAGAGAAAATAAATAATTTATATAAAATTCTAGCACAAATTACCAATTTAATTTTCAATGAAACTCTATCATATTAGACAAGGATATATTTAAAGTTTTTCTATAAAACTCTAACACAAATTACCTAAACTTTTCCCCAAATTAACTATTTTATTTTCTTTAAAACTCTATGACATATAACCTGTATTTATCTATTTTTTATAAGTTTATTAATAAAAGAAAATCTAATTAGACAAGGATATATTTAAAGAAAATAAAATAATTTCTATAAAACTCTACCACAAATTACCTATTTATTTTCTTTAAAACTCTTTCACATTAGACAAGGATATATTTAAAGAAAATATATAATAATATAATAATACATATAAATAAAATATAAAAGTGTAAAGAATTTCAGCATTTCAGTATTTATTTTTTAAGATAAAAAATATTTATTAATTAATATTAAAAGAGAACTCTATCACATATAACTCCTGTATTTATGTATTTATTATAAGTTTTTTATCAAAAGAAATTCTAATTGTACAAGGATATATTTAAATAAAATAAAATAATTTCTATAAAACTCTACCACAAATTACCTATTTTATTTTATATAAAACTCTATCACATTAGACAAGGATATATTTAAAGAAAATAAAATATAACCTAGGATCTTCCAAAAAATCACCAACTCCATGTAATAAATTTTTATATCAATTTCAATCTAATGTATGATTAGTATAATTGAATTTCTATTTTAAAATTTAATTAAAAATTAATATAATTGAAATTCTATTGTAAATTTAAAATTATACTAAGTTTTAAATTACCTAATAAAATTCAAATTACAAATTACCTAATTAAATTCAAATTACCTAAAAGAATTTATTAGTTTGCAAAACTAAAATATTTCAGTATTAAAATAAAAAAAATTATTAATTAATAAAAAAAAGAAAATATAAATATTTCAGTATTAATATAAGAACCTAAAAGAATTTATTACTTTACAAAACTCAAACTCTAACACCACTAACACCAATTTCAAAATATTTTAGTTATATAAAAAGAGTTACAAAAAATGACAATTTTTTGTAAGGTTTATTTGTTGTTTCAAGCTTCAAATCAATAATTTAAAAAAAAAGATATGAAAACAAAAATTTTAAAAATTACAAAACATTCATCACGTGCATCGTACGTGCCTTCTCCTAATATATATATATATATACTTGTGTGAATATATATGATTGTATAGGTGATGCAAAAGCTATATTAGGTTAGCGCATTGAAAATAAGAATATTTAAAATTTGGGAACTTGGTTTCTTCCATTTTTGAGATAGAAAACAATAATCAAACTATTGGGTCAGTCAAAATTTGCATTCCATCCCTAACAAAGTATCTGATAAGGCTAGTGCCGTAGGAGAGTCCATTAATTATATAAACCCCTACCATGTGTGTGCTATCCTTAATAACTATATAACCTTTATCCATATCTTAAGTACAACATATATTAACCTAAATCCTTTATTTTCACATCTAATAATTCGTCTCAGTCATCCAACCATTTTTTTTTTTTTTAACATTTAACACAAAATATATAATAATCAATGGATACTCAAAATTCTTATATATATATATAATTCTTACATATACATATACATATATATATATATATATATATATATATATATATGATTAAGCTCTCTAATTCATTTTAAAAATTCATCACTATCTTAATTGAAAGCAATTTATCAAGGTCCATGGCCAAATTGTATCTACAGAGTTTGAGTTTTGCAGGAGTATTGTGGGAATTATTTGACTGGACAATAGAAATAAAAAGAAACTAATTTAAAAGAAATTTGGTATTTAGGTTGCCTATTAGGACTGAACAGGCCAAAATGAGCTTCCATCTCTGCCCCAATCTTTTGGTTCTCGTCAAACATGGCGAACAAATAAGTTTGTATAGCCTTCCCTGGCCTCTTTGGAGTCCCTCCCTTGACATGATTCATCAAATTTCTATAGTAAGTGTTTGCATTCTCCACAGTCGCTGCAGTACCACCCGCAGACGGCCAGCCACTCTCCGAAACCACAATCTCCAAACTCTGTCCACCTACCTTCTTAACAGCACAGTACATGGCATCCAACAATACATCAAAAAGGTTTGTGTAGTCTAACGAACCGTCTCGTACAATTACTCCTGATGCAGTAAATAAGGCATAAGGAAGCTGAATGTTTTGTGTGTCACCAATATAGCTATAGTAAGGGTGTATGCTGGCGAGTAATGGGGCACTATTGTTAATTAGGAAGCCGATGATTGGCTCCATGAACGACTGCGCGCTCTCTCCAAATACGCTTTGTGACGGAGGGTACCAATTGCCCAAAAGTCCCACGTGTGTTGCTGTTGAAATCTGTTAGAAAATAAACTTAATTTTATTATTTTGTCGTTCAAAAATTTTAAAATGCATTATGCATGCGTGCATTTTAAGTTATTTAATTATCTTAGTAGGAGTAATAAGTGCAAGTTCCAAATGACTAATAATAAATTGTCCTAATTTAAATTCTCTATTAATTTATGTGCGTACTTAGCGTTTTTTTTTATTTTCAATAAAATGATATCAAGCAGAGCAAAGCAACAAAACCTTGATTTGGTCTTGTAATCCAGATGCTACAATGGCGTTGTGGATGTTTCGCATTGCGGGGAGAACAAACTGAACAAAACGAGTTGTAGGATTGTTGGGATCAACTTTACTTCCCACAGAAATGTATCGGAGCTTGACATCGGGTGAGTAGGCTATTACATTCTTCTGGACCCATTGAGTTGCGGCTGAAGCATCGGATGCAAGCGGTTGAAGATCTGAGTTCGGAACGCCGAGGATGAGTTCTATATTGGATCCTCTGAGGGCCTGCTGCGTTGCTTGGTCTGGATAATAGATTCGCATCCTCCCAATGCCTTTGGATTTGTATAAGTCTACAGTTTCCTGCGCCGATGGTAAATTGTTGCCGAATTGTCCATTGCACACACCTATGGATTGTGCTCCTGTATGTAATAGGAGAAAACTAGACTAATGTAAGCAACAATGTATAAAGTAAAGTCATGTTAATGGTGACTTTAACTGTTGAAAGTGGTGAAACTTTACAGGACAGGACTCTATGTATAAGAAGTAATGATGAGCAAACAATGGCACATACAATATGAAATCACTTCTATGGGGAGAGAGAGAGAGGAGGAGGAGGAGACCTGCTTTGTTTATGATAGGCAACAATAGCTCAAGTATTAGCAATATAGCAACCAGATAAAATTTTGGTACCAAATTCGTATAAATATCCATTAAGAAGAGAGGAAGAATTAATAACGAACTCCGCTAATTTATCTTTTAATGCAAGATAGATATATATATATATATAGATAGATAGATGGAATGCCACAATCAAGATATTTATTCATTCTGATAGATATTTATTCATTAAGAACGAAATGGGCAAGTGAGAAATTGATCGAGAGCCATTGACATAAAGTGGAGCTTGATAGATATTTATTTATTAAGAATGAAATGGGCAAGTGAGAAATTGATCGAGAGCCATTGACATAAAGTGGAGCTTGATAGATATTTATTTATTTAGAATGAAATGGGTAAGTGAGAAATTAATCAAGAGCCATTGACATAATGTGGATCCTGATAAATATTTATTCATTCTGGATTCTCTATATTCGCTATTATTTTTATTATCATAGTAAAATTTCTACAACCCTTGAACCTAACTCTGAATTTTAGATGAACCAAATAAAATCTATTTGTGTATGATCTCTTTTTTGTGTTTTTTATTTAATTTCGTAACAGTTAATAGGTCGATACGAACTAAACATGTCATGCAAGCAAGTAAATATTGGGTGTGTGATAAGTGCACCATGTCATTAGTGTAACGTTAAATAACAATGTACTATTTTAAAAACAAGTTGGCTCATTTACTTATAAATTTGTTGATAACGAAATAATATATTAAGTAATATATTTTATCGAATAGGTACACTAACAACATGAGGCGTCTTGTGAGACCAATATCTATTCTAGGTATGCAATGTGTTGAAATCAGTCAAAATGTATCAATTACTTACTGGGTGTTGTGTTTGGCTAAAATTAATTGGTTAAATGAGGCAAAAATGTAAAAAAAACCCCCTGAACAATCACAAATTCGCATTTTACTCCCTTGAACTACAAAAATGAACAAGTTAATGCCATAACTATTACAAATTGTGCAAATTAACCCGTAAAACTCAATTCCGACCACTTTTCGGCCCACATGATCAGCACGTGACTGTTTTTTTCTTTTAATTCCGAAATTACCCTCGAATACTAATGAATATTATTATTTATTTATTCATTTTAACTTTTCTGCCACGTAATGAGGTAAAAACCACCAAGAAGCTCAAAGCCGAGTTCTCCTTCCCGCCAGTGCTGCGCCGCAAGGTCACAACTGACCTCTCCACAACTCATCACCGGCCCATGCCACCATCGCCATCGCTGCGCCAGTAGGCCGAACCAGTCCTCTCCGGCCTATGCCGCCATCGCCATCGCCATCGCTGCACCAGCAGGCCGAACCGGTCTTCTCTGCAGCCCATCGCCGCTATGCCGCCATCACCATCGCTGCACCAGCCACCTCTGATATAATTGGATCAAAACCGGTAGTTTTTTTCATCAATATAAAAAATAAAAAAATAAATAAAATAATGAATCTGCCTTCGTATTCTCCAATATGATTGGGGATCTCACAAATTATGAAGAGTTTGTTCCCTCCATTCTCTGTAATCTACCGGACCACCACCGATTCTCTGATTTTTTGGTTAGAGAAAACGCCATGAACGGCCAACGAACTTGAACGGATGACCCGTTCCTCCTGAACTACAACGCCACCGACCTGCGAATCGCGTCGGAATTTCTCTCCAATTGGCTTCCTTTCCTCTCTAGAGGTCTCTGTGGCCGCTGCACTTAAACCCTCTCAGATCACATTCGATCCCTTAATCCAGGTACAAAAACTCCTCTGTGGTTGTGCGTTGTTGGGATAATTGTAGAAGTTGCCGACGATGTTAGACTATGTAACCTGAAATTAGACTAAGTGTTAAAGTATGAATCTCAACGGCAAACAAGCAGAATCAACAAATCCAAACATACATCTTGCACAGGTTTATGAAATTCACAAAAACCGTCTTCTTTGTGCCTTTTCGAAGAACTTGAGGTGGCCGCATAACAGTTCTACGTCTATCTCCGGCAAGCTCTGGATTATTCTCCCGGAGGCAAATCTATTAACTTAAATGACGGGGAAGAATATAGAATCACGAGATATGGAACATACCTCCTCATACTCGTAATCTCGGTCACTTCCTTCCCACGGGTACCGTGTTGGCAAGACAATTGCTTCCCCTTTTTCATCCTCGCCTATACCATCTAGATGATGATGAAAAGTGAAGAATAATGTTTGACACATTCAGATAATCATTTGGCATTAAACCGTCTCGGCAAGGTGCCCGGCTATGGCTGGGAACATTTGACGACTTGAGAACAGAGGGGCATTGACGGTATTTCATGTTGATTATTTATTTTTGTATTTTTTTTTTAATTACAATGGATAGTTTTATAAATTTACAATCAAGTTGGCCGGAAAGTGGCCGAAATTGCATTTTAAGGGTTAATTTGTACAATTTTAATAATTGTGGTACTGAATTATTCATTTTTGTAATTTAAAGAGGTAAATTATTGATTTGTAATAGTTCAGGAGGGTTGTTTGTACTTTTGTCTGTTATTTAACGTGGTTTGGTAAAGTGGCTCAAATCAATTGGTTCAAGTGATGTGATTTTGTAATTTGGTAGTCAATGGTGAGTCAGTTTTTTGGTCAATTGGACTATGTTTGCATAGCATGGATGAACAGTACAATTAATGAATGAGAACCGCAAAGAAACGGTGTGCTGTGATTGGTTTGGGGGGTGTGTTGTCCACCATAAAAAGTACAATGGACGGATTGCTTTTTGTGTCATCAGATGTCTATGAGCTGGAGTTTCATAGTCCAATGAGGCGACAGGAATGATGAAGTAATGGATAGCTTTTGCAGCAGCTAAGTCGGCAGCCACAAGTGGCAGACAAAAGTTAGTGGGATGAGAAAGGATTGAGAGAAACGATTGAGGGCCGGGAGAGGTGGTCCTTTTTTATTGGTTCAAGTATGGACTATGGATTAACTATTGGTAGTTCGTTGAGTGTTTTAATTTTTTTTGTTTTTTTATAATAAAAGTAAATAGTTTTTCACCCGTGTGTAAATCTTGTTCACCGGTGAGCCACGTTATTTTTACACTTTTTTTATTTTTTTGTTACCTTGCTTGTGTGTTCTATTTAGGGGTTAATTTTAGAGGTTCGTTAATGACCAACCCGTCCATATTCATCTATTTTAAAATAAATTTGGGTAAATTATTTTAAACTATGAGTGATTTATATTTAATTTATTTTTATAAAAAGTTATATAAATTAAAGTAATTCATCTATGCTCTTATTTAAGTAAGAAAAAACATTATTACATTTATAGATTTATTAAATTATCTCCAATATCAGTTATACAAATGTCTAGATAGACACCTAATCATTACATTACATAATATCAATAGTAAGATGAATACAGGGCCTAACTTAAATATACATGAGCACACAAATATACTAATAACAATTTTATAAAAATAAATAATAGCATAATTAATTAACCATTTGTATTAAACTATCCAAATGAATTTACATGTACACAATTTAAACAATAATTATTCAATCCTACCACATAAGTCATAGCCACTATGACCTCATCATAATCCATAAAGTGGGAAATAATATTATGTGATTACGTGAGTAGAGATAAGAGATGTAGGGCCGGCTCCAGCGTTAGGCGACTTAGGCGGTTGCCTAAGACCCCAGCCAATAAGAAGGCTCCAAAATTTTAAAATTTCCTTATATTAAGTTATATTATAATTATTTCCTAATATTATTAAACTCAAATAAATACAAAATTTTTATATTAGGCCCAAAGATTTATGTCCTAAAATAACTTATTTTTTCCCAAATATCATATCATAAAATAACTTATTTTTTTCCAAATATCATATCATAAAATAACTTGTTTGGGATTTTATATTAGGTTTCAAATATTTATATTCTAAAATAACTTCTTTTTTTTTTTCTCTTTTCTCTCTCCTCCCTCGAACTTTAACTTATGCATAAATTTAATATTAGGCCCCCAAAGATTTACATCTTATATGACTTTTTTTTTCTCTTCTTCTTCAACTCCTTATTCATGTTTTTCAATACATCTTAACCAATATAGAAATTTAATATTGACCCTAAAAATTTGTTGTTGGGATTTATATGCCCTGGCATAACAATTCCTATTTGGATTAAAGTGACATATGTTCCTAACGTATCTGAAATATTTATGCTTTATACAATTGGTGAATTCAATATATTATGTTTCGATTCATTATGGAATTGATAGTGTCCATTTGATTACAAGAGATATTTATATATAAGTATGTGATGGCGATCAATGCATGATATATAAATAGTAATCATAAATAGTTCATAATCGGTAATTATGGATGGACTCATTATTAACTAAGACTTGAAATGGATCTGCGTTAGGTTGAGATATATTGCGAGAGCCGTCGTATGCAATTGCTCCCTATCACCGTCATGGCATTTGACTCTTAAGCATGAGAGAAGTATAGACTCTTTTATTTATTGGTAATTACTTTGATTTGTTCGGCAAAACCTTCAGAATCTTTAGACCGGCACTTTGGGTAATTATGTAATTAATAGTTAGACGGTTATATTTTTAATATTTGCATCATTGTTATTTATATTTATTTTGTATTGATTATGGTTGATCACAAAGTAAATTCGAAGGCCTTCGTGTGTTTTTAGACAAAATGATTTATTATATAATCTTTCCTCTAAAGTGAATGTTCTCACTTATTGTAGATCCCTTAACAAGATGCCTTCTCCTTGGATCTCCATCTTCTTGGTAATTGTTTTGCCTTTAGGAATCACTCATAAGCCTTCATGAATGACCTTGGAAAACTAAGCTTATGGGAGCCTCCATTAGATGAGAACATTAACCCTAATTTTCTAGAGAGAGAAAATATATATTCCTTTTTCCTTCTTCCAAAAATCACCACCTAAAATATACATAGACCATGTATATATATAGGCAACATAAAGATAAAGAAAATGAAACAATAAATCATTCTCAATCTCTAATTCACATGTCTCAAATCTAATATGATTTCAATATCAAGTTGGGTTATGAGTGAGAATCATTTGGGCTTATTATTTTATTGGCTACAGTGAATTAATAATTGGCCCGATCCATGGATCCAATTCAATTAATTCATAAATTAATTTCTACTCCACTAAAAGAAATTAATTAAACTCCAATTAAATAATAAATAACCTCTAAGTCAATATTGCACTTTGACCCCTTTATGCATAATTAGTTATTGAATAAATAAAGCCATCAATCCGACTATTTAATTAATATATTTATTTTGGTACTATTAATTATTTCTGGCTCGATCACAATAAAACATTTGTTTGACAAAAATAATAATTTAAATAAATAAATGCAAGATGAGATCTGATGTATGATATGTGGTTCCCCTCACCTTCTTGTAGACATTATCCTATCAAACCCTCACCAAACAAGGCTCAACTCCCCACCAAAAGACATCTCCAACCAACCCATAAAGATGGAAATCAGAAATGAGTGAATCAAGGAGCAAGTGGGCTGAAGTGATGGATCCTGGAGAGCATTCTGCCTAAAGTTCGAGCACTCAAAGTAAGCCCTTCGAGCGCTCGAAGTTCCATCAGCTTGCTCTCTTCTTTTGACCTGCTTTGCACTACTTTTGTAAAATAGCCATAACTTTCTGCTCCGAACTCCAAATGACGAACCGTTTGAAGATTTGGATAGCTAATTCAAAGCTCTAAATGCGCCATGCTTTAATGGAAGTCCAGTTCTCGAGTTTGTTAGGTCAAAAATGAAGAGCAAAGTCAAACTCCACTACTGCCAGAACTTCAGCCTTGAGCACATTATTATTCAAAGAATCAACAAAACATCATTTTTGCTCCTTTTTGGCCAATAAACCTGAAAATATATAAAAACATGTAAATGAAGATAATGTACATAAAATAATCAAATAATGGACTTAACTAATGCAACTAAGGGCGTTTGAATATAGAATATTCGGCGCTTATCATAAGCTTCATCCATGGCCCAAACATACATCAATATCATCCAATCACAAATATACATACATCATGATCATATAATAATATATACATATGCATATATAAATTTGGATCCATGAATGATGCTTTTCATAAAATCATGATCTCTAGTAATGAATCAAACCATGCTCTGATACCACTGTTGGAAAACGTGCTAGTTTTAAAAACTTTCTGAGGGATTTTCATACATAAATCTTGATTCATCACATAGAGACAAGTTTTATGCAAAAATAAAATATGATGTATCATTTAATTGACAGATTGAATACTTAAGATTTCTAGAGAGAGAAGGAGGAGGAAAAGATTGAGTTCTTAAAGCTACAACAAAGGAGCTCGAAAATGGAGGGATCTTCCAAGCTTCTTCCTTCTTCTAAAGCTCCCATGGGTAACTAAACCTCCATCTAGGGAGGTGATGAGGCCCCTCCCTTGTAAGCATGTTCTAATTTAGGCTATATTTTGGGGATTACAATGTACATTCTATTGTCTTTTCATAACCAAGAGCACTTCATTTGTTATAATGAATGTTGATATATGTATGGATGATTTCTGTAAGTTGATTATCTTGTTTTAGATGATGTCTTATATTAATCATATTGCTTGAGTTTTCATGGTGAGAATGGAGACAAGGTTATGAAATGGTTTAATGGCATGTTGATAAGTACTTTGATAGATCATTGCTTAGGTGAAGCCTTTGATGGTTTATGCTTATTGCTTACCTTCATGTGCTTCATCATTTTATATAGGACTTGATAATCTTTCATTCAAGTAAATGTGGTTAAGTTACACCTTAGTTAGGTAGTCTAAACATGTTAACCTTTAATGGATCATGCTTGCTTGACATTTAATGTGCATTTTGTTGATTATATGACAACTATGTGTTGCTATATATTTCTTGACCATCATATATTGTTTTTTCCCCAATTTAGCTCTAATCTAGCATGTGTATAGGGATGGAGGCGGATTCACTTCCCTAGTCCTCTTTATTTATATTTCATCTCCTTTAAACTCTTCCAAACTTTTATTTTATGCACCTTAATTTCATAGCTTAAGTGACAACCAACAAATCCTCTATGAACACCCCGTATCATTCTAAAAAGACTCTAGACACTTAGGTTGCCATAGATTAGTGCAGTCCCAGTGGTTCGACTTACCCGACCAATAGCCCTATTTTACAATGATTCGTGCTATTGCGAAGGTTGATTTATTATAGATCGAATTCTCAACCGATTAATTTTTGGCGC